AAAACTTTGCATCAAAAAATTATCATTCAGTCTGTTAAGAGTGTGGCGCAGGAATTAAAGTGAATTTGCCATGTCATTCTCTCAATCATATCAGAGGTTGTGGTTTCGAATGAAACGACTTTCTTCTGTCCATTAATCACATCATATTAATTATGAATTTGAGGTGAAATTTCTATCTTCAGCTTCTTGGTTAATTATTTATTTATATTATAATATAATGACAGGCAGCGGCCACGGGTGACCGTAGAAAATGGCAAAGGAGTTTCTAATCGTTCGGGGTGTCTGTCTACTCCTGCAGTCTACTTTCCTGTGCGTATATATGTATGGACTTGTATTTGTACGTATGTATGTTACACCTTTCTTTCATAACACCTTTCCCTCATGAAGCTTATTGTGAAGCGTTAATCTTTTTCATGATGCCATCAGCAGACCGCCATATTTTGTTAATTGAAAGCAGTAGCTGCAACTTGGTGACCGTATAGTGTGTAGTTCTGCAGCTTCCTTCCCACAAATTCATGACGATGTGTCATTCTGCAAAGAGACCATGCATTACTTACTTGTACAATTATCCCTTGATTTATGTACTTTCCGTTAATAAATTTCCGCTATCTTCGAAAGTTAAATGTCAGTGCATACTAATGAACTGTAAATTTCCCACCTTTTCAACGAAGGGAAACAACACCTTTAGGAACAATACTTCAGCACAGAAGCCGTCATGCTTTTCGACCGTTCGTATCAATCACTGATTGTGAAAGGTCCTGGCGATGAACTCTGAGCCGAAAACCGAAACGATGGAGAAAATCTGTATTGTAATTATTGTAATAAAGTCATTTCGCTGTTTTTTGAAAAGGTGGACACTTTGAATGTATACTTAATGAACTAGCACTTCAGTGATTCTACGCATAGTGTATAAAAGGGACAATGGTCTTTGTTAGAACAAAAACTGCCGTAGTTGCAAATTGAATGTTGTTGGTCCCGAGTATGGCCAATGCCGTTTTCCTGCAAAGTAAGTAGTTTTATTTCTAATAACGCTATCCGTCAATTTCATTGTGTCTAGATCCACTGAAGTGCCAGTGTATTGAAATAGAAGAAATATCATCGAAATTCGTTTCAGATCATTTAAATGTACCCCTATTTTCAATATACAAGCACTGTTTTTGGTACAACGTAGAATCATCCTTCGTCTTAGTGGTCCATCGCTTCACTCAGCCTCCCAGTTCTGTTTGTTGTAATCATCTTCTTGTGCGGTATGTATGGGCAGATTTGGAACTTTTCAGCTCTCATGCAAGAGTCTCCAAATACTACGTACCTAGAAGGAACGATTTCGCTTTTAACTTTTCTTCATTTTCCTTTAACCAGAATTTTCCTTTAACAAATTCCGTTTTTCCGCGACCTTAAAGGAGAAGCGGCGATGGAAGATGAAGAAGAATGAAGATATTCCCTTTAATTGTCTATTTATGTATGTACAGGAATTCGCCAATCGAGTCTAAGTCCTCCTTTTTTGTCATTGGCCAGATATTCAGTGACTCCTCGCAGTTTCATATCGTTTTTGACGACATCTCGCCACCCTTTCTTTGGTCTGTCCCGTCTTTTTTCCCCCGGAAGTATCCATGCTTGGGCCACATTTCTAACGTACTTTTTGAGTCTTCTTTTGACCTGATCGAACTAATTGGGTGTACTTTCCATAAGCTTTTCTGAAATTTGGTGCTACCCCTAAAGTGCTTCTTATGGAACAGTTTCGGATTTGGTCCTTTCTGTTTATGCCACATATCCACCTGAGTATTCGCATTTCTACCGAGTTCAGATTTTGCTCGTGTCTCTTGACGATGGCTAAACATTCCGCACCATTTAGAAGCACCGGTCTTACTATTGTTCTGTGCGCCATCCCTTTCAGTTTGATGGACATCTTGTCGCACAGTACTCTGCTCGTTTCTGTTCATTTCAGTCAAACTTTTTTCGATCGATTTCTCATCTCACCGTCGATTTCGATATTGCCTTGCAGAATAGAACCAAGGTAGTTGAATTCTTGTGTTTGAGGCAGTGTGTTCCCCACTACTTTAACTGATTTGATGGCTTTCAATCTCTGGCTTTGCCTACACATTTGGCACGATGAAAATCACAGTCCATAGATTTCTTTAAATTAAGTGTTATACTAATCCTACACCTCGTAAATGGAGACGGAGAAACGCAATAATACAGGTCTAGACTGCACTGAAACCAGTTTCATACCTAATGCACGTGGTAGTTAGAATGGGTAGCATCGCGATGTATATGTGCCGGTGACAAACAGAAACATTGTGCGACCCCTCGCATTGTGCGGAGAGTCATAGTTTCGTCTTGTCGACCTGAGCAAACCTTTTTAGTATCGAGTAATATGTTGCAAGTAGGTTGTCGGTGTCCTCTGGATTGTAATAACTGTTCTGTTCTTCTGCACTGAACTTCTTTGATTGTAATAACTGCTTTGCTCTACCGTGTTGGATATTTGTTTTTATCGTTTTTATCATTATATTGTTTTGTTTAAAAATATTTTTTGTTCACGATTTCTATTAAGTTACTGTTTTAGGCTTCATTAACCAATTATTTACATTGCTTTTCCGTATTTTCACTGTTGTTACGAGTGCACTAACAAAATACTGCGTGTAATGTTGTATGCTACATGTTGCGTATGACAACGAGGATAATCTATTCCAAGCGTAAGAATTAAAATTTCTGACAAGTTGGCAGCAGAGTGATGGCCTACAGTGGCTTCTTATGGTTTAGACTGTCCTCATGGCACGTTCTTCCACTCGTGGATAACCCAACGTGTAATAGTTCATGTACCCATAGCTTATTTATATAGTATGAGTAATTGTTAGTCATACAGTTCTTTTGTTAGGAAAAAGTTTTACATTGCGAAATATCGAAAACTTGAAAAAGAAGCGGGAAGACCGGCGCGCGCGGCAAAAGGAGCTACTGGAAAAGAAACAGGAGCTGATGATCCAGGATCAATTCAACCCTCACTGGGAATTCCTCGAAATGATCAAGTACGTAGTTTTTTTAGCCTGATTCGTATTTCTTAGGAATGTTTCGTCATTGTGCTCGTGCTAGAAATGATACCACCTTAGCTAAAGTTCCTGTCATCGTCTCTGTGTCAGAAAGATGGGCAAATAATAGGTTAGGGCTTCTTTTATAAGACTACTGGTATTACTTCACTGATGACATAAGTAACGCACGTAGATTGGAATTTATCTTATGTACTGCAAGAAGTTATCGTGGGCTGGTTGAGTTGTAGTGTATGACATTAGTACTCGACGTCCTCTTAAGGAGAACATCTTCACTACTGGGATGAATAAGGCTAGTGTAAAAGCGTGGATAACCGTAAAGATACCGAGTATAGGCCTCGAGCCTTCCATAGAGCATTGTTGCGTCTAAACGGAATTTCTTCAGTGGGATAAAATCTTTTTTGCCGGACTCATGTTATTTCGTGTCGTTAGTCATCAGCTGTAGATTGGCAAAAGAGAGTAAGTACATTTTGAGTGTACACTCTGATTAGTCATGCCGTGCCGTGCCATGCCGTATTTCGGATAT